GACAGCATGCTCCACACACGGTATTCGTTTGTTTTTCTAAATCAGGAACACCTCTTACCACTTCAGCACTCACAAGTCTGCTAAGCCCATTGGTGTTCATGTGCCCCAACTTCTTGTGCCAGAGATCAAGTTTGGATTCAGAAGCTGCAAAGCACACGTTTGAAGGTCTCCATAGGTAGCAATTGTTCCCCGAGCGAATCCCTCTCAGCACCACATTGTTTCTTGCATCAACAGCTCGACATTCTTTGCTGTTAAAGATAACTTCCAGTCCTTCATCGCATAATTGACTCACACTGATCAGGGTAGCCTTGAGACCCTCGACGAAGTACACATTTGAGAGTTTGGGTACATCAGGTCTGGAAGTAATTCCAATTGCACGAATCTTGCCTTGTCCGCCATCTCCAAAAGTAACTTTTCCACCTCTGATGAGTTCGAGTTTCTCAAGATAGTCTTCGTTACCAGTCATATGCTTTGAGCATCCACTGTCAAAATACCAAGGAAGTTGTGTCTGTGATGCTTCTTCAGCAGAGGTATACGCAACATGACTAACAATCTCAGTTTCCTCTTGAATTCTCACAAGGTTACACACGACATCAGGAATGGTTTCAGTGTCTGACTCAACTCGCTTAGTGATTGACACAGAAGAGGTGCGTTCTTTGTAGTTTGGATATAGGTCTCGCTTAGCTATCCACACACACCCATAGGCAGTTGGTTCTGTGAAGCACAAGTTTAATCTCCAAGCTCTCTCATACTGACTTCTTCGAAAGTAACAGAACCTAACATTGTGTCCTCTTTTTCCACAGAAGTGGCAACCGTTTCCACGTCTTCTTGGTTTAAGAATGACACCCTCGTTTCTTTCAACATGATCTCGTTTCTCTTCAGGTTTCTTTCCTTCCTTAGGAGCTTCCTTCACGAATTTCATTTCTGCAGATGTGGAGGATGATCCCTTGTATCCCAGGCCAAGGCTGAGACTTGGACACTGTCCCAATGTCAGTATGTGATCAAGAGATGCAGTACCCCCTGATAGCATCCGAACCTTCTTGTGATTTTCAGTAAGCTGACTCTCGAGTAGTCTACTTCGATCAGTCTCCATAGCCAAGAGATCACTAAGTCTTTGCACTTTAGCTTCAGCTTCCTTATGAACTCGTTCCTGCTCCGTCATGGCTCTCTTAAGTGCAAGAACTTCTTGATCTG